TGTAATACAAAAACCTGAAACTGAAGATGCTACCCTCTTCTCATTCCCTGCATTGTTGGGCATTTTTTTTAACATGACAATGAAGATATTCATTCTCCTGAGCTGAAAATCCTTCAGTGGACATGTATTTCAAATACCTGTCAAATTTCAAATAATATTTCAAATATGTCTTAACACTCTTGAGCTGCTGTGAGAGATTCTGTAGAGATGAGCTGAGCAACACTCCCCATTAAAGACCCAGGGCATTTAAGGAGGTCGTCCTCCAGGAGTTAAACAGCACGGATGTGAAAATTTGTCATGAACTTGTACACTCAGTGCCAAAACGTGTCAGAGCAGTGTACTTCGAGTAATGGAGGACATATTCAGTTCTAGAATATTACACTTGGTTGAATTAAATCTAGGTTGTACTCAATTCTGCAATCCTTCATTTAAACAAAAATTGGCTAAGTTTCTTATCTTACAGAAAATATTGCCATATATTGTTGTTTTTATTAAGTATATGTTTAATGTTTCAATTTTGCCATCTTTCTATGAATTATATTAGTGACCATTAAGAAAATACATATTTTATATTTAATCAGAGGGGGTGTACTCCTTTATGCTGTGCACTGTAACAATGAAAATAAATATTATTAATATAGGGCTATTAACTTTATTTATCCCACAGGGGAAACTATTAATGAGGGGAATAAACTGAAGTATCATTGTAAACAACGGTCATCCATACGTATTCATTTTAATAATTCATATGATTTTACATGTAGTCTGCCTGAGAAAATCATGTCTATTATTTTGGTTTGTGAGATCGGAGATCGCGCTGCGCACACATACAAACACTCAGGAGGACACAAACTTGTTTTGAACCCTGCCCCGTGACTTTTATGAATAAAATAGCTTAGATACTGAATTGATACATATTCATCAGCAAGGAGAGGGTAAAATCACTGTTTACGTAAACTCACATGTTTGTAGAGAGACACACTGACGCAGGTTCACACACACCTCTCTCTCTCTCGATGGAATAATTAATTCAAGTAGCTAAATGTTATAATTAATTCATTCAAATAAATGTGATCTTACCATACTATTTCATATTTCTGATCTGAAGTGGGCAGAATACTGAGCTAATGAGTCAGTCTTGCCTTTACGTCGTGCATTAAAATAGTTTAAAGCAGTGTATTCGCTCTTTAGCAGCAGTTTTTACAGCAATATTTAAATGACACCCTGGTCATTCTTGGTGTACCCAAAATGGTCCCACACTATCGACTTCAGTCATTACTCTGGTGGAAATAAAAGATTGCGGTTTGGTTCCTTTGTCATAGTTAATCTAGTGTGTATAGTAGCTTCCGTGTTTCTGATAAGCACAGCATTTACAGCTGGTGCACCGATAGTGTAACTTTGTTTTCATTTTGCGCAAGTTGCAACTGTTCCGTTCTGTGCAACAGAAACACTCGGTGTAGCGGAGCCTTTACGATTAATTAACTGTGACATTTTAAAGCGAGGTTAATTGGGAAACCGGTTAATCGCTGCATCCCTAGTTTGAACAGACACATACACACAGAATTATGTCAATAGTACCCATCTAGACAATCATTCTCGTAAACGCAGTCAGTTATGTTTTAAATGAATGTAAACAGCTGAGAAAGAAATCAGATGTGTATCATCATACTGGATCCATGCAGTCAGTCTTAAAGGGACAGCAGCCTATAAATACCTGCTGCTGAATATGTCACTAATGTTAATCAAACAACAAAACACAGCTATAACAAAGATTCATCTCAATTTAATTCATACAGTGAACACCATGCAGTGTTATTTTACACTTAATTATTACATTTCTGTACCTGAATACTACTGTTTATTGTATCTATGCTTGTAATTGTGACTGTTGTTCACTTGCCTTTAATCATGGTGAACTTTCTTAGGCTATAGTTTTTGCTGTGGTATATGAAGAAGTAGGCTATTACTTTGTTCACATTGATGTTCAAATTACATTTTCAGATTTGTGACATTACTTTTTATGTACTGGTAAAAGACTGCTGGTCACTTTCAGAAGTTGTAGTGATTTTCTCTTTTCCAAGAAAGAATGTGAAACATATATTGGTTATATAATTTTTAAATATAATTTAAATTGACTTTACACACTTCAAGCAATATCGTATCACATATCGAATATCGCATTATTTAACAAGGTATTGCATATCGCATTTTTCTTCAGTATCGCACTGCCCTAATTTCCGGCTAGCATTTTGAGCGCTGTTGTGTGGATTGTCAAACAGCTCTGATTGGCCATTGTGTTCTCATGCTCAACAGATATGTCTGTGATTGGCTACAATGATCATCGCTTCATGCTCTTCACCAAGCGATGATCATTGTAGCCAATCCCAGTCATATCTGTTGAGCAAGTGAACACAATGGCCAATCAGAGGTGTTAAAGAATTCGCTCAACGGTGCTCAAAATGCTAGCATTGTCACATTTTAAAAGTTTCAGTACCAAATGGTACCGACATCGGTACTTTTGACAACACTATTTCACACACACTTTTTGTGCCTCATGACTTGTAGCGTGACCGTGTTAAACAAAAGCTATTTAAATATCTCTCATTTTCCTCAGGAGCAGAAACAGAGTTGGGGAGTTTAAATTGTTTAGGCTAACCAGTTCTTTCAAACTGTCCATTTCAATTAATCAGTTGAAGACATCATTTGCATCAACAATCAATGTTCACAGAAGTGAAGACATTACCTAATAAATCAATTATCTAAAAAATGAATCTAGTTTCAAATGAAATCTTTATGAAGAAGAACTTTAAAGCAACTATGTAAACAGATACATATCAAACATTGTTAGAACGCTGAAAAATACCAAGACACATGATTTTTATCAATATCTCTGAGCCCTAGTCTGGCCTGAGACTTGAGTCAATCTCACAGTACCTTCGACAACAATCACAAAAACACAATACCTGAGAGACCACAAACACACAAATCGATAAACAATACAACTTCAGCACAGAGGAAAGACTGAATATGAAAGTGTACAGTGTCATGATTTTCTAAAGCTCTCCTCATGAAAAACGCAGAATAAAAAGGGTCTGAGGCCTTAAAGGGGTCATATGATGTTGCTAAAAAGTACATTATTTTGTGTATTTGGTGCAATGAAATTTGTTTATGCGGTTTAAGATTTAAAAAACTACATTATTTTCCACACACTGTACATTATTGTTTCTCCTCTATGCCCCGCCGTTCTGAAATGCATCGATTTTTACAAAGCTCATCGGTCTGAAAAGTAAGGTGTGCTGTGATTGGCCAGCTATCCAGTGCGTTGTGATTGTCCGAATACCTTAAGTGTGAGACGGAAATGTTATGCCCCTATCATACTGTGATGATGCCCTGTCAGGCCGGAGCGATGATTCAAAAACATGAAAACCCATTACAAACGAGGCATTCGTTGCATCCAGTGGGGACATAATTATGGATTATAATGTCGTTTTACGCGTTGCATCGCGCTGCGTAAACATAAAACCATGTCTGCATTTGTGATCGGAGAAATGACAAAAAACAAGCCCTACTCTACACTGCCCAAAAAACTTGCTTTAAATATAAAATATAAAAACTCTTTAAATATAAAAAAAAAAAACTTAAAGTCCGCGAGAAACGGTCCTCCATAAAATGTGCTGCACACATCTGAATATTTGGGTTGAAATGTTCCGGAACAGTGTTGTAAATACTTAACTTAACCACTGATTTCTAGTAGTGTCCATTTTTGGAAAGCCAAACAAAGTAGTTTCGCTTTCACAACGAAACACACAGCGCCTTCCCGGCAACAACAATACTACAGCGAGAATAAAAGTTATGCCTTCTTTCTTTGCGTGAACATTTGGGTGGCGTTATGCAAATCTTCCCACATAGTGACGTAGATATGTGGGGGAGTGTTAGAACGAGCCGTTTTAGGTAGGTGTGGCTGACTCTTAACTTTTATAAAGAATATCTCTTTGGATTTGAGACTTTAGTCTTTGCAACTTTACAGATATTCTTTATGCACCAAGAGCTTGTAACACCCCAAAGAGAAAGGAAACATTGAAATCGCATCATATGACCCCTTTAATGCTGGGAACAGAGATCTCTGGCTCAACAGCAGCAAAAGATGAACGCTTCAACCAGCAACTATAGGCTTTATTTCATCTGAGCCTTAATAGGCATTCTTTGACTGACTGTTGAAATAAGCTATAGGTTAACCTTTCACATCTCTGAATAGAAGTTAGCCTCTTCCTGTCCTGCAAGTCTTATCAAAAGTTGTCTGAAAAGAACACACCAAGTAGAGCAATCGATGCACAGAAACCACAGCTTGTGCTGATAACATTCGTCATCTGTGCTGAAAAGAGGATGTGGACAGGATGGGCTAAAAGCAACTCACAATTGTAAATAGGATGTGGACAGCATATGCTCTGAATCAAAAAAATGGCCCCAAACTGTGGTCTGAATATGCCAAATATTTTAATATGCCAAATGGATGGATAATATGAGAAAAATAGACAGACGATAAAAGACAGAAGTACAGCTTATTGCTTACCTGAGTTCCCCAACTGTTTGTAAAACCTGTACTCGAGATGGAGCTGGGGTGCTCTGGATTTGATTGGCTCCTATAAAAGAGCAAAATTAACAATTAGTTTTGGTGACCTTCTTAAATAGCAATAAGAATCCAGTTATTAACGTTGCTTCAGCATAAAAGCAGTAAAACATAGATGGATAACTTGACATGGTACAAATTCTGTGCAAATATATTGCTGTGAATCCTCATATTTACGCAAACATTCAGTGGTCAAGATAACTAATATGTGACTTCTATCATTAGGATATTGCTAGGCATGGAAGACTCCGGTTATGCGATCAATATGAGGTGGTCCATTTAGCTGAATGCTGGTTTTTACATAAATAATGTAAGTGAGAGAATGTGTGCGAGTGCTTTCAGTTAAGTGCAGAATCCAGGGTTTAGTCATCTGTGGCACCAACAGCTCTGAACTTGTGGAGGAAAGCGCTACTACGCAGGAGGCAGAATGGAAGAGCCAAATAAATATATAAATAAATAAAAACAAACAGACTGCATAAAAACCACAGGATGTATTAAATACCCAGCAGTGGAGAGTGAGGAGTACAACAGGTTTACTCTTTCAGCATGCATTTCCAGCATGAGTTTACACGGATAAATAGTCAAATCAGAGCAACATTAAGATACCCTCTATTTAGTACCAGTAATTGGGTAATGCAGCCTTAATGCAGCTTCTCCAGAGAGGATATTTGTGTTGTTTAACGGAGTCAGAATGAAGAGCTGAAATCAGTGTTGTAGCATCTCTATGATGCTGTTTTCAACAGACCCATACATCAATTGCTTGACTCCTATCACCAAATGTGTCGCTACATTTTATGTAAGTGTGATTAAGGATCTCTGTAAAGGTGAGACCAAGGAGCTTAACGGCATAAAAGTGACAATGTCTCACTTACATGATCACACATTTTTTTTAAAGCAGAACAGTTGGCAACATGTTAAAAGTAATGAAGAGAAGTGAATTTGAGACTTCTGTAATACTAAAATGTCCCTAGATAATATTCTAATCACTAACTCATCTTTCCCTGTGTATTTTTGGATATGCAGGCTTGAAACCAAATCCAATTAAAATATTGATATGGAAGAACAGTTTTTAAATTGTTTTGCATGGCTTGCACAACAACTAACCACAAAAAAGTGGACGTTTTTCGAACCAAGGTGGTAAGACACCATTTCCACAATATGACATTGACCAATCATAAAACAAATATTTACACTACTATTCAAAAGGTTGGGATCTGTAAGATTTTATACGGTTTTTAAAAGAAATCTTATATGCTTACCAAGGCTACACTATTTGATCAAAAAAAGTTAAAAAAAAAAGTAAAATATTATGACAACTTAAAATATATTTTTTTTATTTTAACAATTTATATTATTATAAAGAAATACTCATAACCCCAAAGTTGGCAGTTGAATGGTAGTTTTTTTTATGTAAAATATATATATTTTACTTTTATAAAAATCTGTTTTTAGTGTTTATTAAATCTAATCTGTTATTGCATTTCATCTACCAACAGGAGTGTAGTACTCATACATAGCATTCAATACACATTTTACTACATTGAAGTCCTCAGATTTCCCCTAAAAATAACTGCAGAAAATATGATAAAAAAAGTCTAAAGATCACATTTGGGCCTGCAAATCACTGATCAGACGTGTTTAGGAAAGGAGAAATACATCTTGCAGCATAAAAGTATGTCATAAAAGTAAAAGTAGGTAAAAAACAGGATCACAGGATTCCTGTTCAGCACATTGTTTTTGCATGCATATTTGAACTTTCATACACTTGTAAGATAAACTGCTATTGCATGGAAATATGCATTTTATCTCGAAAAGACAATCTTTTGTTCATTAAGAGTATATTCCACACCACAGGTTAGGAAATAATTGTGTTGTGAAGAAAATATATATATTGATGTTCAGCATATAGGTTTTATAAGTTATATCTGTGGAATCTGTAGAATAAAAGGTACAAGCAATTACATGGTAATGAGTGAGTGTAAAAAGATTTTTCTTCCAAATGGAACTGGGTGAACAAAAGCGAACACAAGCACTGCATATTAATCTAATGTAGTTTAGATGTTATAAACTACTGTGTGTTTATTTTGTAACCCAAAGTTT